GAATGCTCGAGAAACTGTGGCCATTTCGGAGACCTCAAAATATCATCAACAACAACCGACGAACCCATCTTTACAAACCATTCTTTCTGCGCTGTATGCTGCACAGTCGGTGTCCCCGATCAACAACGAGCCTTTCTCTCATTTGCCTAGCCTCACTGGTCTATCTTCCATTTTGGAAAAGGAGAATGCGGTGGACAACGAAGTAAGCATATATATATATATATATATAAAGGTTGTCAACTGGTGCATTTTGAAACCGGTTTAGAAATTGATAGTTTATCATTCCTTTTTTCCACAAACCGTACTGTTGCTTCATTCAACGTTCATCACCGCTTTTTGCATTTGAATCGTTTGTTTTTGATACTACCCGACCTCCGAAGACCCCTTTTACTATCTAAGGCTGCTGATTGTCAGTTCTCAGTCATGCCTGCATTTAAAATCATTTTGAATAAACCCATACTGTAGTTCCCAGTCCAAACTGACTAAAACTTGATGTTCGTTCTGTTGCAAATAAACGGTTACGGAGTGTCGATTAAAACTCGCGTGCCTCTGAACCCTCAAGATGTTCGAATGCATGCGAGCAATCTTTTGCCGTGCGAAAAGATTGCTGTGGAGATTGAATATCGATTCCGTTTAGTTCAACTTTGCTTTCGTTGTCTTGGGTGATCTAATTCAAAGATGTTTTACCACTGGTTGAATTTAATGGCACCAGCGTAAACAGTGGTGGTGGTGGTGCTGGTAACAGACATGAGGGCACGTATTGCGTATGCCCAGCCATCGTCTACCGCACCGCGCTTTATTCGCTGTAGCTAATCCGGGTTGGAGGAAACCACGCGGAGGTCAACAGATGACGTGGAGACGAGGCATGAAGAAATGCACAGAACCATTAGGTGGAGTAGGTGTCTCTCGCCTTCCAGGTTGGTGTCCGAAAGACTCCACAACTGGTTGGTTGGAGATACCGAAGGATGTGGCAGCGAACCGGCAGCAGTGGCGTTCTTGTTGTCGTTTCTTATCAGGCCAGAACGCTTGAAACGGTATGTATGCAGAGTTCGATTGTGCCTTCTGTGTGTTGACCATAGTGGCTCATCTTCTTCTCCCTTCCTCAAAATAGATCCAACCCCTGTCCACCTTAAATTTTACCACTAACCTTGTATGTATTGTGAGTTTGGCAGCGGTTAGTGAAGTTCGCTTCNGGGGGGGGGGGGGTCGTAGAATGTTTAGTAGTACGCAGTTCATCTTGCTGAAAAATAGTGTTCAATTATTGAATGCCCCATACTGTAAGCGCCGCACGCAGATGACTATGAGCCAATCGACCGTGCGACATTCACGAGTCTTGAAGAAAGCCTCGCGAGTCATAGGATGAAGCAACATGAGCCCATCAGTCGCACAAAGGAAAAAAGGAGACCAATATAACAACTAACTCTATTTAAAGCTAAAAAAATTGCATTCATGAAAAAATTCACATTCATGATTTTGTTACAAAACAAAGACCATTTTACCGAGTGTTAGTAATAATTGCTTTCATACTGCTCAAGGCCCGTATTCGTTTGGTGCTTTTTCGTGCTGTGTTGCTTCCTACGCTTCAAAATACTCAGATTTGCTATTTTCTCAACCACTAACCCAGCCTAAGCTTGACCACATGTGCCATCCAAATTACCATATGCTAAACTGCCGCCTATGGTGTCATAGTGCGGTCAGTCCTACTTTACTGTTCTCATGTATCGAATGTTCCTATGGCATACTCCATTCTTTTATCTTAATTACACTATTTCTTTGCACTGGTTGACCAAATAAATAGCTACAATATAGCAGCAATGGTAACAGGAAATAACAATAATATTAATGTTTTTATTTCTTTTTTATTTATTAAATATACAAATTCACAATCAATTGCAAAGTCCATTGTTGCTCAAGCCGATCTTTGTAAACCCTGATGGTAAAAATGTTTTTTCTTCTTCAGACTTTCTCATTTGAAGTTAGGTTGCACTGTAGTCTACGATAAAGTTCTCGTAGCTCAAAAGCCCTTTATTTAATTCACTTCATTGATTTATTTGTATGCTGATTGTTTTTTTCCACTGCAGCTTTGGTCCCATTCTGTTGCCAGAAAGAGGTGTGCCCTGTTGAACCGATATACCAGCATATATCACACCTGAGACCTGTTCCGCTCAAAACTTTTCACAGTTACATCTCTGCATCAGGTTATCATCCCTGAAAGTTTATAAAATTTTCCAGCTTGTAATCTGATTCTAAAAGGAGTGAGGTTACTCCACTTTATGCTTGATCGCAGCTTGATAATGTGAAGTGTTCACGTTTTGAACAAGGCATCAGTCCATTTTGATTTCCGGTTCCCAATTGATG